TTCTCTGTATAACTCCAACATTGCACAGATGCCCCATGACCTGCCAGTCATGCTGGTGTGACCACCATTACAGGTATTCTAACCTAATCATTAGTAACAGTTGCCATAATACAAATATTACATAGGTAATTATTCAAATTTTCACCATCGATGGGATTTGAACACCCAACCTACCACTTAAAGGGTTGACAACCTGACCACTTCACTAGATTGCCACACCCTTATTTTATTTTATTTTATTATTATTATATTATATATGTATTTAAAAATTAAAATCAAATGAATTAAACATATTTTTTATCTCAATTTTATTAATATCTTCTATGCTCAAATCTGCATTAATCAAAACATTTGTTATGATATCTAAAAATTTTTTCTTTTCTTCTTCTGTTTGATAAACAAACATCATATCTGATAAACTTTGTTGAATAAAATCAATATTATTTTGTGATATTTCAAAAATATTAGCTAATAATTTTTATATACATCAATAATAACTTTAATGCTAGCTATTTCATCTATTTTTTCTTCAGAAAACATAAATGGATTATTAAAAGAAAGCTCTGATGCTTTAACAAATATCATTGAATGTTTTCTTAATTTTCTAAATGCATTATGTTTTCTTAATCTTTCTTTTGATATCATTGCTTTCTTTCTAGGTTCTTTATATAAATAATTATTTAATAATGCAATTAATTTTTTCATTTTATCAATCTTTGTTTTTTTAAAATTCTTTTCAAATAAAAATAAATCTTTTTTTTCTAATACCCATTTATAATATAAAACATCCAATAATGATTGTTTATCTCATGTTATATTATAAGTTTTTTTAATAGTTTCAGCAATAAATTTAATTTTTGTTCGAGAAAAGTATTTTCTTTAATCTTCAGTACTTAAAGTTTTTTTATATTGATTAATTATATATGTTATTTGTTAATCTACTATTTCTGCTAAATTATGTTTTTGGTCTGCTTTATTGGAACTTGTTGTTGGATTATTACTTTTAACTTCTTTAATAGGATGTTTTTCTTGTGGATGTTTAGGTGGTTGTTGTAATTCTTGAAGTTTTGTATTTAATAATTCTTGAAGTATTAATTTATTTCAATTATTTGTTAAATATTTTTGTTCTAATTTATCAATTGCTTCTAACCAGGTATTTTTTAATTTTTCAATATCTTTTTTATTTTCAATTGCTGATTTTAAAATATTATATAATCCATTATTATAATATTGCTTTCATATGTTTTCTAATATAACTAAATTTTGATTTTTAGTTAATAATGTTTAATTTAATATATTTATATCTTGCAAAATTTTTAAATTACATGATATTTTATTAATATTTTCACTATTTTTAATCAGATCTAATATTAAATCATATAATTGATTTTTATTATCACTATTAAGAAAATCTAATCATGAATGTCTTGTTCTATCTAATATTTCTCATGATTTTTCACCTTCTAAATATTCTTTTCTAACTTCATTTATTCAATTAATATAATAATTATTATCTGATAATCTATCAGTATTTTTTGAATATTGAATCTCAATTAATAAAGAATCATAATTTCTATTAATCAACAAAGCTAAGCATTGTTTACTTAAATCTTGCAATAATTTTTTTGATCTTCATTTAATGATGCATTTAATTGAATTATTTTATCATGATGTCTTTCATCTAATAAATTACCAAGAAAACTTTCATTATTTATTTCTTGTTACTTTCTTATCATTTCTGTATTTTCACATAAATTTCTTATTTTTTCATTATGTACATTATGTAATTCATATTTTTGTTGAGAAGTAAGATCTTTATTATTAGCAATTTTATCTTTTATATAAACTTGCAATTTAACAATATTAGTTTCTTTATTAATTTTTTTTAGAATATGTTGAATTATTTCTTGTTGAGTATTTTTTTGAAATTTTTCATTTACTAAATCAAATAAAATTACTTTTTGTTCTGCTGTTAATCTTTCTTTATTTCCAATTGCTAATTGAATTTTGTGTAATTGTGATGGAACTTCTGTTTGATTAATTATTTCTTTGTAATATTTTAAAAGCTTTTGTCATAATTCATTTAATTTTACTTTTCTATATTGTTGCAATAAATTTCTTTCATGAAATGTTATATCTGAACATTTTATTAAATTATCTAAAACTTGATTTCCTTTTAAATTATCAATATTCTCTGTTTCATTTATAATTTCATTAATTCAATTATTTAATTCTTGTTTACGTTCATCTTAAAGATCTATTTTTTCATCATATATTAATAAAGAATTTGTAATATCTTTATAAATTTGTTCATTTAAAAATAAATCTTTTAAATTTGAATCTTTAATTGCTTTTTTTCAAATTTTCAATCAAGATAGTATTATCTAAATTTGTTGTTCTTCATTTTCTTTAGAAATTTGATTCTGATTATTAGGAATTTGTTGTTTTTTATTTTCTTTATGAATTTGATTCTGATTATCAGGAATTTGTTTATTTTGATCTTTTTCATTAGGTAATTGTTGTTCATTATTATTTGAATCATTTGGTAAATTTTTATTATCATTAGGTTCTTGGTTTTCATTATTCAAAAATAATTTATTAATAAAAATATTTTTAAATTCTTGTTCATTAATAAGAGTTTTTGTTGATTCATATAATGTAATATATAAATATTCTTAAAAATTAGATTGATTTATTTTTTTATCCTCTTTCTCATATATTTTTATAGCACAACATTTTTCAAAAAGTTTATAATTATAATAATATTTATATAAAGATAATTTTAATTATCATTTTTGAATTTAACAAGTATTTATATAATTTATTTTGTATAATAAAAAATAAAATAATAAATAAATAAAAATAATATAATTTAAAATAAAATAATAAAAACTAAATATAATATAAAATAAAATTATGCATCATTATCTTCTGGTTCTTCATCTTTAACTTTAGCTTCAATCAATTCTTTTACTGCATTAGTAAGTTCAGTTTTAAGATGTTATGTCATCATTTGCATTGATGAATAATTTTGATAATCTAAAGTATATGCTATTTTGATAAATCCATTAGTAAAAAATACTAAATAGCCAGTTCCTCCATCTCTAGGATTTGCATCTAATTTAAGTTTATCATTATATAGTATATCTTTATTTTTTATATTTAATTGATATAAATGATCTATATAATCTATAATCATTATTAAATGAAGATTTGCAGTGTTGTAAAGTATATTTTTATTTGTTCCTTTTGAAAGGATACAAACTTTTTCCTCATTTTTAGCAAACCTTTGACACATTGTTATTACATGATTATTAAAAGTACATCCATTATTGCATGGTATTACAACACTATAATCTACTATAGGTATAACTGTATCTTTAAATTTGTGATATATTAAATCTGAAAGATCAACCAATACATCTTTAATTGTAAGATCTTTTTCCTTTGCTAACTGTTCTTCACAAATTTGTACTAAATAAAGATCAATTTTAAAAGGTGAAAATAATGGTAATAATAAAGTTTCAGTTTCAGAAATATTTAATGATATCAGTTTTTGGTGTAAATGAAACTAATTTAAATTGTGCAACAAAATCTAATAATCTAAGTAAAGTAAATGTTTTATTTTGTTCTTGTAATAATGAAAATGCATAAAATCGTATATCTACAGGTAAAAATGTTTCATTGCCAAATTCTATTTTATTACTTAAATATCTAAATGGTCATGATATTTGACAAATTGTAAATATTTTTTCATCTCCACATGAACCAAGTGAACATTTATTTATTTTTTGAATCTTTGAACTATTTTTTATTAAATTATTTTCATTAAGTTTTCTTTTTTTTGATGTTGTCAATGTTGTTGAAGCCATTAAATAACTTGATAATGATCGTATCTTCTACAATTAGAACAACTACTAACTTTTTACTTTGGTGATGAACTAATTAATATAGGTAATTTTTGTCTTTTTGTTTGATTTTTTTCTATTTTTGTTGTTAATTTTTTTATTAATTTGCTTACTTTTAGCAACACTCGATTCTTTTGTTTTAGATTTAGTACATTTTGGTTTTGTTTTCACTTTTGGTTTAAATTTTTTAGCAGCCAGTTTGATTAATTTTTATCAATAAATTTTATTATTTCTTGTAATACTTGTCATGTATAAAGTGTAATTATATTTATAATATTAATAAATTCAGATTTATAAATATAATGTATTAATGTTAATTGAATTATTATTGTAAAAAATAAAAATATACTAACTAAAATAAATGTTAACTTCTATAAAAAAGCAGCTTCTATTTAGGAAAAGAAAAATGTAAAATGAGACTATTTATATTTTTTTAAATTTCTAAACATTCTGTATTAATACAATAAGTTATTAAATTTTAATTTTTTCTTTGTGTTTTTCTTTTTACTATTTGTAATTGTAATTGTTTAGGTTTATGAACTGATTAATATATTGGAGTAAAACTTTGACTATTAAATTTTTGAACATATATTCCACCAGGATAAAGTTTAGTTAAATCACCATTTTTCTTTAAAATAACTTCATATTTATCTGTTTTTTAATTCCAAATATATAATTTTGGTAAAACAACAATTTGAGGTTGAATTACTTCTTTTGATCATTTAGTTCTTGCTTCATATGTACTTGTAAAAAATAACAAAAAATAATAATAAACAATAAATTTATTCATTTTATTAATTTACATTTAAGATAAAGTATAATATTTATATTTTTTAAGTTACTCTTGAATATTGTTTTTAGTCTTTCTTTATTGTCACTACTATCATCATTTCTTTGATGTCTATTACCAACTATAGATTCTGGAATATCATTTAATAAATCAATATTTGTTCCTGATGGTACATTGGCATTAATCCAATCTGCAAATAAAATTGCTAAATAATGAGCTGTATTAGTTTGATATTTAAGAAACTCATCATCTTGAAAATTATTTTCAATTTATTGATTCTATATTAAATATAAATCTTTAGTTTCTAATATACTTTTAGCTCCTAAAAATGCTTGATACATTAAATTAAAAATTTGTTTTATAGTATTAAGTCTTTTAACAATCATATCTCTGTTATAATTTACAGGTGATATATCTGGATTATATTGAACATCTTCTATTTCTTAACTATAATATACTTGTGAATTGTTTGGTAATTGTTCTAATATTTTCTTATATTATAAAGTATGCTGATATAAATGTGTCATTTGTTTATAATTTGCTGGCAATGTATTCCAATTTATATTATAATTTTGATCTGGTAAACTCAACTCTATAGCTAAATCCTATTCTCTACTATCAGAAAAATGATCTATATCTTGACTATTTTGCATATTTTTTAATAAATCTAACCAAGCAAAATAAGAATTGTATTGTATTATATCTGCTAAATCTAAATTTTCAGGTTAAACCTTACTAGTAATCACATCTTCCATTTTATATACTATTTCAATTTCAGAAAATATTATATTTGTTAATGGAATATTTTGTTGTTGTGGTTGTAATTGTGGTTGTTTTAAATGTTGTGATTGTGGTTGTTTTGATTGTTGTGATGGTTCATCTTTTAGAATTTTTTGTGGTAGTATATTAATTCCTTCATTTATTGCATTAATTATTTCAAATAACATTATTTGATATAAATCTATATCACTTGATTTTTCATTTATATATTCTTTTTCTTTTGAACAGCAATTTGTATATGGATTCTAATTGTAATGAAATTTACATATTTCGTTAGAATACAAATTTACTGTAAAAATTAAAACTAACAAAAATTTAAACTTTATTTTGTTTATTTTAAAATAAATTAAATATACTCATATTTATATTTTTTATAAATACAAAGATTTCTATTTTATAAAAAACAATTTAAAAATGAGAAAATTCAAAATATCAATTTATTTTGAAATTTTAGAAATAAAAGAAACTGCTACTAAAACTGAAATCAGAAAAGCTTATCATAAACAAAGTTTAAAATAGCATTCTGATAAAAATCCTAATAATATTGCTGAAGCAACAAATAAATTTCAATAAATAAATGAAGCTTATGAAAAATTACTTGAATTTATCAAAAAACAACCAAAGAAAACTAAAAAGAAAACTAATACAACTCATAACCCTAGAACAAAAAAACAAATAAAACATCCAAACTACAATCAAAATAAACAAAGTCAAAAAAATCAAAAAAATCTGATAATAATGATGAATTTATTAAACATTTTTTTAAATTTATGAATAATTATATAAATAATAAATAATTTATGTTGATTTCTAAACAAAATTGTTTACAAATCGAATTGTATTTTCTTTTAGAAATTTATTAAAACATTTTTCACAAAATTATAATAATGATTAATCTGATAATTATAATAAATATCTATAATACTATCTCTAAAATATAAATTATATATATGTGGAAGGCCAGAATAATGACGGTCAGACCCAATGTACAGGGCAGACTATGGTACCTTGCACAGCTGTGAGAGCCGAGCATACGGTGATC